GCAATCCTTTGTCTATCACATCGAAATACACACGTACCTTACAAATCACTTGCCATCATTCTTTATGCTATAACACATACTCTACACACCACTGTGAACATTTTGCACTGTCATTCAACAGGATTGCCAGGATAACACCAATGACAACATGTGTTTCACTTAGCATACCACCCTGTTATAAGCAAGAATCATCATTGCGTCCCCACAGGAGATCGTCGACGACCAGGCCCCACAGGAGAGGTGAGATTTCGCCCCCCTGTGGACAACCCTTAGATGTGGGCGCCCCCAGGGTTTTTCCTTATAATATAGGAGCTATGGTACTGCTTTCCAGCATAGCACTGATCCACCTGCATATTGCAGGCTCTATTCCATGCTTTTCAGCAGCCTGTTTGATTATATGTAGTGAGGTTCTATCAAAAGCTCCCTCTATGTCAAGGAATGCTCCTAAGGCAATATCCTTGTGTTCAATTGCACTTTCTATGCGTGTGACCACATTATGTAGTGCACTTTTGGTAGATTTACCTGTTTGGTAGGCATGCTGGTTTTGGTGTAGAGGATATGGCCCTGATATGCCTATCCACTATTTTCTCCATTGTTTTCAACATGAAAGACGACAAGCTGATAGGACGATAAGCTCTAGCCTCGGTATAATCAAGTTTCCCGGGCTTTGGGATAAACGTTACTTTAAGTAGCCTCCAGGCCATGGGGTTGAAACCATATGGCATGCAGACTCTATATATGCGGCATAGGTGTGGAACTAAAAGTTCTGACCCATGCTGCAGAAGTGCCGGTACAATTCCATTTGTTCCTGCTGACTTAAATGGTATAAAAGTATTCAGTGCCCATCTGATTGCTTAATTAAGACTCTGGCCAGGTTCCAATCTGCCCTGTTTGTTTCGCTTTGGCAAGGGTCCAGGTTTTGCTGACCCTGTCCATCATCCAAATTATCAATCAATTTTGAATCAGGAAACTGAACCCTGAATAATTCGTTCAGTGTCTCCCTTTCTGTTTGAGTATACTGCCTGTTAGGCAGCTTAATTGTGCTGACCTTGTTGGTCGCCTGTTTTGCCATGATCCTCATGAGTCTGGCACCGCCTGATATATCACTGATCTCTTGGCAGTGCCTCCTCCATG